GTGGGGCTCAGCTGCTGACTCAGGCTGGCAAACAGCATTTGCAGCAGGTACCAAAACCTTGGCTGTCACCAGCCTTTGGCAATGGCATTGGCCAAATCAAGGGTTCCCAGGGCTGCTTCTCACCTTCAGGTCCAGGTCCAGGGACTTGGTTGTAGCTCTTGGGGGTGCCACCAAGGAATAATCAATCCCAATCTTGTTATCTATCCTGGCTGTGACTGCAAACACAAGGAAGAGAGATGAGTAAGGAGATGGTCAGGAAATCTGGAAGCAGATGGCCTCTACTGGCATCTGGGCAGTGCCATGACTGGGCTTCGTGGTGCATCAACTCACTACCAACTGCTCCTCTGCTCACTTCTGCTAGGAAGAAAAAAACCCCACTTTCACCCTGACTTTTTCACAGCCATCTCTTGGACCTGAGGAGTGGCCAGTGTCCCCCAGCTAAAGTAGCCAAAGCTCCTGACAGTCGGTGGGCATTCGGAAGGAATTCCCACAGCCAGACAGGACACACAGTGATTTCTCTCTGCTGAGAACTTGCTCCCCTGCTCCCAGCTTGGGTGGCGGAGCACCCGGAGATGGGGAGTGGACACAAAGTAAAACATTCCTCATGGCTGGGAAAGGATAGGAAGAGCTGCTTCTAAGCCCACTTAAAGTCCCCCAGTACCTGGCAGCGTCCGGACCTGCTTCTGGAGCTCGTTTTGTACAGACTTGGCCACATTGTCACACACCTGTGGGACAGAAAGGCCACAGAGCTGAACAGGGGCAGCTGGGTCACAGCCACACTCCCAGCTCCATGACAAAAACTGCTTAAGTAAATCAGCACTGTGATGATTGCCCCCATTCATCAGGAAGTACATCAAGTGTCCAAGCCACAAGTCGGGTTTATACCTACAAGCATCTGCTTGTAGCAATTTCCCCTCGGCACAGTTCAGCTCTGGGGAGACCCTTGGAAGGAATCTCATGTGGCCCATGCAGGAATGAACAGTGCTGAGCAGCCAGGGCATGGCCGAGAAAGAGCAACAGAGAGGATTAACCCACCTGCAGGGGCGTGCACTGGCTCTAGTTACATCCCTACTTCTGAGCCTTCGAGGACATTACCTACAAGTGGGGGCTAAACACAACCAGAAAACACAGGACCCAGCCTTCCACTGCTCACATACCTTGCCCTCTAAAGTCTTTCGCAACTTCCTCTCAATAATGCGGTGGAACAGGTTGTAAAGCCACCTGCAGAGAA